TGAATCATCAAAACTGCTGTTCTTTTTTTATTAATGCCTTTATTTTAATATTTTATTAATTTTTCTGTGGTGCTGAGGATGGAGCATGCAAGGTGAGTGCTCTATCACTGAGCCACAATCCCAGCCCCAAACTGCCATTCTTGACCATCAAAATGCTTGGCTATCAGCCAGGTCTTACAGTCCAGTGTCCTAGAACGGAAGTGACTTTTAGTCCAGTGTCCTTCCCACGGAACCTGAATACCGTGTCAGGGCGTGCTGTCCTATCGAAGGCATATATTCTCAACTCTCCTTGGCGAAACACAGTGGATATCGATGACTTACTCATCTCCCTCGACAAAGGTAATGCAACTTTCCTCCACACGGTGACTCAAGGTGCACAGCTGGGTCTGTCTTTTGGAACACCTGGCCCACATCAGGGGAAGAAAATGCCAGGGTCACATGTTCTTAAGCCCCAGGTGTGGCCTAGATCCCACCTGTGCACTTCTAACTGGCCAGAACCCACTCCCAGGAGCAGTGGCCTTGCTTCTGATAGAATTCCGTGTCCTTCGCTAATGACATTGGGAATCTGGTCTGTCCTGTTAGTGGTGGTGTCGGCAGTTGCTTCCCGCCGTGGGGGTTCAGCACCTCTTTGGGTTACTCCAGCTTAAGGGTTTTGGTAAATTTTTAAATATGTTTTCAACATCTCAAACCTCAGGCTCTTAAAAATGCTTCTTAGACCTTAAAATATGAAATAAGTGCCCTTAGTGAATTTCTCCAGGTGTGCAGTCCTGCCGTATCTCAGCTAATTTAGAAGTGTCTAACAAGCAGAAAGCCCCCACAGAGACCCTAATAAACACTCAGAGGTTTTCCATCAGAGGCCTAAAATATCTTTGAAAGGCATGGCCATCTGTAAGTAGGAGAGAAGAATCGACCTGTGTGGGTTTCTGTCACTCCTGCCTCTCACTCTCCGTCTACTGAAAACTGTCCTCCAACTCGACATCACACAGCGCTGGCTCTCCACAGAGGCCTGCTGTTGCCATCACACCGTGGCTCTTTTGTGGCCTTCAAGGGGACAAATCTCTTTTCAACTCTGGTAAACTTTCCCTGACACACACACACGGAGGGAACCACGAGCCAATTTTCAGTGGTCTGAGAAAGGAACTGGATTTGCATTCTCTGGGCGCAATTTGGTTGGATCCACAGTAGCTGCAGAGTCATTCACCAAACTGCTTCTTAAAGACACCTCCAGTGGGCCTGAATGGCTGCTGTCCACTGTGTTCCCTGAGAGGAGACTGCCTGAGCAAGGAGGCCAGTGGTCCAGGTACTGTTCCCCTTTGCAGCTGAAGTGATGCTTTAGTTTGGATCTTAAATGTCTCCCTAAAGGCCCATGAATTAAAAGCTCAGCCAGCCCCTAGCCCGTGGCACTGTTGGGAAAGGGCACAACCTTCAGGAGGTGGACCCCAGTGGAAGGAAGCTGCACCCTTAAAGGGGATATTGGACCCCCACCCCCCAGTCTGTCTTTGCTTCCCGCCACGTGTGCCATGATGTCCCACCACGTGCTCCTGCCATGTGTTCGTCCTCAATGCGTTGACCAGCCTGGAAGCTCTCCAGACCCTCCTGTTAGAGGTTTTTCATGGAAGGTTCCTTCTGTAGGCAAGGCCTATTAACTCAGCTTCCAGTCCCTCTCCCCTTCCCAGAGAACAGGCTGAAAGTTCCAGGCTTCTAATCAAACTTGGGCAACAAGTTCCCCTGTGAAGCTAGCCACGGGCCCACCCAGAGTTGCCTCCCAAGGACAAGAGACATTCCTAACCCTGTTCTGCTTCTGAGATTGTTGCTAAGTGTGATGGGTTTCACCTGCCACTTCTTTGTGCCATCAGATCGAATATCTAAACAGGAAAGAGACCAAAAATCATTCTGGTGATATTACGAAAACAGTTTTGTCATTCAGACCCCCCCTAAAGTGTCCTAGAGACCCCCAGCAGAGGTGTCATGTTCAAGCTTTGAGAACCCCTATGTTAGAAACGATTCTCCTTCCATTTAAGTCTAAAGCAGATATGTTTACTATTTGTGGTGAATAATGTCAACAAAAAGTAACAACTCCGCCTTAAAGGAAATTTTCAAAGTCAGTTCATTTGGAGCCAAATATGAATGCTGATGGCCCGGGAACATGGATTCAAGTTGCCATGAATAACATATTCCACCGAGGAAGGGGTTTTGTGAACCTTTATAGCCATAGAACCAAAGAAAATCAGTGTATTTACTGAAGGTGCAATAAATGCACTGATGGGGGCATTAGCCAGGTGGGCTTCAGAACAGCCAGGAAATCCTTTCGACAGGCTGCAGATATTACCTTTCAGCATGCCTAGCTTTGGGGTTGGTGGAGGCTAGATGTCTACTAGGCTCCGCAGGACATTCCAAGAGCAATCAGAGGATGTTAGATCAGGTACAGAGGTGGAAAGAAAAGGGTATCAAAGAATTACAACAGCCCAAGATGATTTGGGTTCCCCACATTTCATCTCTCCACAGTCACCATGATCTAGTCATTCAAGGTCAAACCGTCTTCAGAATCTTACAACACAGATGCAGCTTCTTCACAGAACTTCAGTTCACTATGAGGATCTGAATCTACAACATCGGATTCCCAGAGTTGGATCCTTACACCCTGAATAGTATGTTACGACACATCTAAAACTCAGATTTACTTCTTGTTGCTTTTCTCCCATGCATGTGTGTCTAGTCACATCTTCAAAGAGAAACCAAGCCTCTCATCTCAACCTGGATCCCAAAGAGAGGGCTCCAACATTAACATTTTCTGAATGGGGAGGCCAAAAAAACCAGGAGGACGGCCCTGCCATGTTTAAACCATGATGGTTTGCAATGGTGTTTAAAAGGAAAGTTTCAAACAGCGAGCCCTGGCCATGTTACATTTACTCATTAATGAAGTAACCAACAGCGATAGCAAAAAAAAAAATCAAAAAACCTGGTTGCTTGAAAGCTTGATGAAAATTCTATGTGTGCACTCATTTGTGTGTAGACAGATCCCTTTTATCTACTTGCTAAATAGGTATCATTAGATGGTTAACAAACATGTAGGGTAGTTCAAAACCAAATGCATTTGCCTTCCTCAGGACTGTAATCCCCAAAACTTCTTGAACTGATTTTCCCCCCAGGCTCTCAGATCCGAAGGCCTTCCCCATTTCTGCAGGTTAATGGGTCACTCCATAGGACTGTAAACCGTTCAGGCCTTTATCAGTTGTTGTTTGTGAATCTACTATAACCTGACAATTGAGTCTCAGAGTGCTCTTGATATTCAGAGAAAACTACAAAAGAATTGGCCAGAGGACTTGAGGCTAACCTTTCTCAACTGGTGGAGATTGCCTTTAAGGTTTTCAACAACAAAGATGTGGCTGAAGAAAAGAGAAAAGGATGAGGAGACCCACTGCCCGGCTGCCTCTCACCCTCCAATTCACTCAAGGCAATCAAGAGGAAGATATAAGCCATCACCAGTGAGTGCCTCCTCCCCCAGCTAGGACCCAATAGCTCTCAGCAAAGATGGAGCCAAACCAGTAGGAACTTTGCAAGCAGGAGGAACCCTGGATAAGGGAATGCCCGAATCATCCCCAGAGAGGGAAGCTACGAGACCAACCAGAACTCTTACCAATGTCCCCTTGCAGAAGATGAAGGTGGATGGGACAAAGAGGCTCATCATTTGGCTCCTTTAATATGATCCAGATTTCTTCCAAGGACCCCTGTGTTACCTTAGATGTAGCTGGAGAGAAAGTTGAGTTTTTACTTGACTCTAGAGAGTAGAGTCACCTACTCTCTACTGACTACTAGAAAAGTCACTACCCAGAAAACAACACATCCAGGAAGGGAAAAGCTAGTTTCTGAGCCTCTGACATAGAAGTGGGTTCAAAGATTTTAAAGCACTCATTTCTGTATGTTCCTGAGCACCCCATTTCCCTTTTAGGAAGGGATCTATAGCCCTTCTTTTGGGGCAACAGTGAATTTTGAACAGGATGTAATGGAAACAGGTGTTCTTAGAAACTAAGGAGCCGAATTCATGGGTACTACTTGCAAAGACAAGTGGAATCAGCTATCAGCACCAAACCTGTAAAAGTCATCTTACAGCAAATTAACAGCTTGGATGACGTTATCCACTAAACCTGAACCAGAGGCCAGGCCTAGAATCAAGGCAGTGCTTGATGGGCTTTGTTTATTTGTTTTAGGCAGTACTAGGGACTACCACTGACCTACATTTCTAGACCCCTCCCCTCCTTTTTTTTCTCCCTTTTAATTTTGAGGCAGGGTCTAGCTAAATTGCCCAGGCTGGCCTCAAATTTGTAATCCTTCTGACTTCAGCCTCCAGAGAGTGGCTGGATTTACAAGTCTGCACCACCTCGCCTTAAGCCACTTCTTAAGCAGGGTTATTAAGACCCTGTAACACTTGTCATGCCTGCATGAGAAGAAACCAAGGACAGATAATAGAGGTTTGTGCAGTATCCCGACTCAGGTAACTTGCCTTTTCATCCAAGTTTAAAATTAAAAAAAAAAAATCTATTTTCTGCCTTTTTCTATGTTTGGCATTTTCTTTGCTGTCTGCATGGAAACCCGGCGGGACGCGCTGGGCCGTCCGCGTCCTTCTGCCTTTGCAGCCCCAGGCAGGGAGGCGCGAGCG